TACCCGCTGTGCTATCGCTCCAGCCCCACCAGCATTCTTTATAATAGCAAGCAAACAAACAAAAATGTTTATCAACTGGAAAACGGCCAAAATAACAGTGGGATAGGCGCTAAAGAGACAGCACAGGACTTAAGGCTCATACGTGCCTTGCAGGTGACTGATGCCTGCTCCATCACCAACTCTGCATTCTCTGGTCCTCACATTGAACCCCCACCATAGTTGATAGAGAATCACCACGAAGGGCTCCCAGCCTCCTGAGCATCACTTGGGAGTCCCTCTTCAGTGGTATATCATATAAATCGTTATGAAATCATTGGAAATAGTCACATTTGTTATCCCTCCCCAACCTAGTAAAAATTAAGGTGCACACACACAAAAAATAATAACAACATCATCATGGGGCTGGAACAGCGGTAGGACGGACGCGGTTCATGCGTCTGACCAAAGTTAAATCCCCACCCTCCCATATGGTCCATGGATCCTGCCAAGAATGATGCCTGAGCATAGAGCCAGGAGTAAGCCCTGAGCACTGCTGAGTGTGGCACTCTGCTCCCTGGAAAAAAGGAACATTATATTACTAGCTCATACTTATACTGCATTCACAATGCATCAAACATGTTCTGGCTTCTCGTGTATTGCGTCCCTTGATCAGCCCGCATCCTTATAAGGAAGATCACTGTCACTGTCCTCCAGTTGTTCATCGATTTGCTCTAGCGGGCCCAGTAACGTCTCCATTGGACACTTTGTTGTTACTGTGTTTGGCATATCGAATACATCACGGGCAGTTTGCCAGGCTCTGCCGTGTGGGCGAGATACTCTTGGTAGCTTGCCAGGCTCTCCGAGAGGGGCGGAGGAATAGAACTTGGGTCGGCCATCTTGGCTGCGTGCAAGGCAAACGCCCTACCACTGTGCTATCACTCCAGACCTAATAAGAAAAGGAGTAGTAATATTCCCTTCCAAGATAGAGGGCCGCAGAGAACTGAGTTCAGTCTTTGCAAGCAGGATGGCTAGGTTTGTACCCTAAATTGTCTGGCCCCTCAGCACTGCCTGGAAGAAGTTCCTAGCATTCCTGAACAGACATGTGGCCCCAAACCCCAAAACGTGCGCGCGCACGCGCGCGCACACACACACACACACACACACACACACACACCCCAAAATATAAAGCTGTGAGAATTCAGGCAGAGAGATACTAAGGAACCTGAACTAATCTAGATCAGACTAGCTTTCTGGCCCAAAACTGAAATTTCTGTACCCAATAAGCTGAAGCACCACAGCGCCCCCACTCCCTACCCTTTGGAAACCGCAGTTTGATCTCTCTCATCCACATCACATATAAACATATAAATACAGTATTTGTATTTTTGGACTGGCTTATTTAATTTCACATAATATCCTCAAGAGTCGTGAGTGTGGCAACATTTGACAGAGTTTCTTTCCTTTTAAAGACTAAATAATATACCATTGTTGCGATAGATTTTACTTGACAATTCATCCATCAATGGGTACTTGGTGGTTTCCACTTACGTGCCCTATTCTTATATCTGTATGAGGGACTGGAGAGATAGTACACGTGGCCAACCCTGGTCCCCTGGCACCACGTGGAGCAATGCCAGGGGACACTCCTAAACACAGAACGTAGGAATAGCCTCCAAGCTCTACCAGGTGTGAGCCCCCAAATAAGATAACAATCACTGTATCACTGTATCACTGTATCACTGTATCACTGTATCACTGTCATCCCGTTGTTCGTCGATTTACTCGAGCGGGCACCAGTAACGTCTCTATTCATCCCAGCCCTGAGATTTTAGCAGTCTCTCCTTTCCCAACGATTGGAGGGAAAAGGGAATGAGACCTGTTATCATTACTATTTTTGGCATATCAAATATGCCATGGGGACCTTCCCAGGCTCTGCCTGTGCAGGCGGGATACTCTCAGTAGCTCACCGGGCTCATACATATATATATGATAACAATAATTATTAATAATTGGGGGGACAGAGCGATAGTACAGTAGGTAGGGTGTTTGCCTTGTACATGGTCGACCCGGGTTCGATCCCCAGTATCCCATATGGTCCCCCAAGAACCATCAGGAGTAATTCCTGAGTGCAGAGCCAGGAATAACCCCTGAGCGTCGCTGGGTGTGACCCAAAAAGCAAATAATAATAATAATAATAATTTAGGGAGATCTGAAGAGATAACTCAAGAAGGCAGAGCACAGGACTTGCATGAATAAGGCCCAGAGCGCGACCCCACACTGTCAGCCCCCCAACAAATATAGTGGCAGCAGTCACAGAATAGGAACAGCTTCCACTAGTCTCCGAATGGCTGGAGAAACACATCCACAAAAAGACAAGTACATCTGTTTGAATTCCTACATTCTCTTATTTTGGGGAGCACACCCAGAAGTAGAATTGCTGGATCGTATGATACTTCTATTAATATGATATCTATAATCTATAGCTACATGATAATGATAGCTTCCCAACCACTTATTTCCTCAGTGGTTGTACCATTTCACATTCTGGCCAACAGTGCACAAAATTCCCAACGTTTCCACATCCTTGCTAACCCTTGTAATTTTCTAGTTTTTGTATAAAAAAAAAACTAGACCATCCAAAAGAATGTCAGATGCTATCTGATTGAAGTTTTGATTTGCATTTCTCTAATGACTAGTGATTAGTGTTGCTAGCATTTTTTTATGTGCTTCTTGACTATAGACATCTTTGAACAAGTCATATGCCTTTGGGGATGGGGGGTGGAGCACATCCAGCAATGTTTAAGGGTTGTTCCTGGCTCCGCACTCAGGAATTACTCCTGGCAGTGCTCAGGGGACCATCTGGGATGCTGGGAATCAACCTGGGGTTTTCTAGGTACAAGGCAAGCACGCTACCCACTGTGCTATAACTCCAGCCTCTCAAATTCTTCAAGTTTTGATTTTATTGTTGTTGAGTAGCTTATAATGTGAAACAACAAAAAGCAGGTTGAGAGTAAAAGGCTCTGAGACCTCACAGTTAAAACTGTGTTTTTCCAGCCAATTGTTTGTTTAGAAAATTATAAGGTCTGACTTCAACACTGGCACAAATGCCTCTATCAATGTGTTCATCACTTCCCAAGTTCAGAGAATCTACATTTCATAACCCTCCAAGTTCCTACCCACATGTTGGGAGGTCGGGGGCAAATCACTAGTCACATTTAATCAATTCCCACCCCTTTTGCCAGTAGGTTTGGAGGACACCCAAAAGCCTTCCTTCACAGGAAGCATTCTGTTGTTTGCTTTGGTTTGGTTTGGTCCACTCCTGGCTAGGGGCAGGAACCATAGGCAGTGTTGAGGTTCTGGGATGAACCCAAACTGGCCACATGAAGGCAACTTGCCTTACCCACTGTACTCTCTCACTGTCTCTCTCTCGTCCAATATGGGTTCATTTGCTTGAAATCTTTTTTTTTTTTTTTTGCTTTTTTGGGTCACACCCAGCGATGCTCAGAGGTTATTCCTGGCTCTGCACTCAGGAATTCCTCCTGGCAGTGCTTGAGGGACGATATGGGATGCCCGGGATCGAACCCAGGTCGGCCTCGTGCAAGGCAAACGCCCTACCCGCTGTGCTATCGCTCCAGCCCCTACTTGAAATCTTTTACTAAATAATCTATGCCCTTTTCTTCTGATTTTATTTTCCAAAATCCAGAAAAATGGCTTTCACTCAGAGCTGTCCCATTAACAAGGAGAGAAAGAAAGAATAGACTCTTCAGCCCTAGAGGCAAGATCCTGGGTACAACCATCTCATGGGGTGACTGAAAATCAACCTTCCCCAAATGAGATCCCAGAGAGTATTAGAGCAACAGTAGCATAAGCGTTGCAGTTTCCAGCTCTGGGGAAACTCAGATTCTTCAGGTCATATTTCAACATCCAACATTAGCGCAGTAGCTAAGTGGTGTCCCTTCTGCAGAGAGTTCGAGAAAGGCTTGTTGGGCTGGAGGATAGTACAGTGGGAAAGGCGCTTGCTTCCCAGACGGCCAAGTCCAGTTCAATCCCCAGCACCCCAGATAATCCCCTGAGCACCGCCAAGAGTGATCCCTGAGTGGAGAGCAAAGACTAACCCATGAGCATTGCTGGCTGCGGCCCCAAAGCTCAAAAACAATGGTGGCGGGCTTGTTGAACAAATGAATAGTACATTCGTAGATGCCAAGGCGAGCTAAAAGAGGTGACAGGGAGCAGGAGCAATAGTACAGCCAGCGGGCAGAGAATTTGCTTGCAAGTGGCTGATCCCGGGTCCTGGGACCTGCCAGAGAGTGATCCCTAAGCACCACCGAATATGGCGCAAGAAAAAAACTCCATCATTGTATAACTGAAACCCAAGCACAAAAATTTGTAAGTCTACAACTGTACCTCATGGTGTTTCACTAATAAAAATTTTAAAAAATAATAAATTCTAAATGTTAAGGTTTTTATGGAGAACATTACAATAAATGCTCAAAAGTGAATTATTAAAGCATTTCTATTCGCACAAAAAAAAAAGAAAAAGAAAGAAAAAAACAGCTAAGCAATGAAAGCGATAATAGTCTTAATCCATCATCCCTGCGTAGTCCCTGCAAAAAAGATCTAATTCTGTATTTACGAGACTGTGAGCTCCCTCGGGGGAAAGGAATGCCTATTGGCCGGTCACATGAGCTGAGGAACTCCAGCAGAGAGGAAGATCACACATCCTCAAAGGGTTTGGCGCCTAGAAGCGACCACAGGGCCCAGCCTCTGGGGCCAGAAGCTCGCGGACCCGGGCCAACCTGAAGATCCGGTCCGGCCCCGTCCACGCCCGCGACCGCCGAAGCTGCCGAGGCCCCGCCCCTCGAGGCTCCGCCCCACCTGGCCCCGCCCTCTCCCCGCCCACCGACGGGCGGGCGCCGAGGGAGGCGCGTGCGCACTCCGCCAGCGTCGCTGCCGCCGCCCACCGCGGGCTAGACCTTCGCGTTTCGGGGGCTGGATGCTTTTTGTCCCCTCCTGCGTGCGGTGCCTGTTTCCGAGCGGAAGTGGTGGCCGCGAGGGAAGATGGCTGCCCCGGCGGCGCCTGGCGCGGCGGCCGGTCGGGCGAGCAAACGCGGCGGCGGCGGCGGCGGCCCGGGAGGCGGCGGCGGCGGGGGCGCGCGGGGGGCGGAGGAGGAACCCCCGCCGCCCCTGCAGGCCGTGCTGGTGGCGGACAGCTTCAACCGCCGCTTCTTCCCCATCTCCAAGGACCTGCCTCGGGTGAGCGCCGCGCGCGACCTGAGCCGGGGAGGCGGGGGGCGCGAGGAGGAGGCGGCGGGGTTGGACCCCCGGCCGCGTGCCCCGGGAGGCTTGCCTCGGGAATCAAGCGGATGCCCTTGCAAAGCCAGGCCCCCTTGTCTCTTAGGGCGCCCCCGGGGACTGCCCTAGCCCGGGTTGGGGAGGGGGCTTGGAGATCCGGGCGCCCCAGGTGGTCCGTGGCAGAGAAGCCGCCACCCCGGGGGTTCCCTCCCATCCGAGGAGGTGATTCACCCCCACCCCGGCCGGATGCCAGACGCGGGAGCCAGCCGGGACAGTGACAGCCCTTGGGAATCTCGTCTCGCGGCCTTCCCGCACGCGCCACGCCGCCCGGGTCTTAGGGACAGACTGTCGGCACCTTCTCGAAGGGACGGAGCCCGCTCGGCGGCCGGCATCCCCTCTCTCCGCCGCGGAGTCGGACTGCAGTGCAGTAGGGCCACGCACTCACGTTCCGAAAGAGAGAGGCCGCTGCTTCTGATCGCAGGAAAACCCACGCGCCCTGGTGCTGCGAAACCCCGATCGTTTTTTGCACAAGTGGAGGGAAACGGGCTCAGAAGCCTGGAGACAGGGCTGGTGGTTTTCCGTAGCGACCTTTTTCAGGATGGTTAGTAACTCTGTGTTGGTGGGTGCCGAGCAAGTGGATGCCTTGGTTATTATATCCAAGTGACCACGTCTTGGTCCCTGGTGCTTGGGAGACGTTACTTTGTTTTGTGTGCGGGGCCGCACCTGGCAGTGCTGACTCCTGGCTCTGCACTCGGGAATCACTCCTAGCAGTGTTCAGGGAACCATATGGGACGCAGGGGATCGAACTGGGGCTCATCTGCAGGCAGGGTATGTGCCCTGACCCCTGTACGCTGTCACTCCAGTCCTGGGAGATGTTACTCTTACATAAAAGAGAAAACGAGACTCTGGGGCTAGAGAGATAGTACTGCAGGTAAGGTGCTTGCCTGAGCACAGAGCCAGGAGTGATTCTAGAACAAATCCCGCCCCCCAAATTAAATAGGTAAATAAAATTAAACAGGACCTAACGATGGAGGTGAGAACTATTTGAAGTGAAGAGGGTTTGTAGTGAAGAATGATCTCCGGGGGCCTCGCGGAGTTCAGGTGTCAGAATGTTCCTTTTCCCTCTCCTGCCTCCAGGCCCTCATGCCCCTGGCCAACGTGGCCCTCATGGACTACACCCTGGAGTTTCTGACTGCCTCAGGTGTGCAGGAAACCTTTGTGTTCTGTTGCTGGAAGGCTGCTCAGATCAAGGAACATTTACTGTAAGTCCTTGCCCCCTTCTTTGCCCGGTGTCACTACTTTTGGCCCAGTGTCTGGGGCTTGGGACGAGGAGCAGTTGTGAAGGGAGAGACGTGTCTATCTTTAGGAGGGTTAAGGCCGAAGCACGTGCTCGCCACCCAGTCACAAGCGAGCAGCTGGAGCTGTGACCGAGTCAAGAATATTTGCCTTTTTAAATAGCACCGATAATGGAAGTTATAAGGGTAACATCTTTGTCTTTACACTGAGCTGTTCCCTGGTGCCTAGCTTACTAACCAACTACCATAGAGTAGTGATTTCACCAAAATTTGGCGACTTTTCATGAGAAGAGTAGATCTCAGCCCAGAGAGAGACGACAGGCGTTAAGGAGCTGGCCTTGAAGCCTGCCAGCGCGAGTTCAGATCCCCAGCACCACGTATAGCCCCGAGCCCTTCCAGGGGGTCAGTCCTCAGTAGTGAGCCAGGAATAGCCCTAGGAGCGAAATCACCGTTTTCCCAACCCAGTGTTTCCCAGAGAGGGTGACCTGGAATGCTTTTGAGAGCGTCAGAGTCCTAGTCCTTAGGTGCAGTTTGCTTTCCAGAGGGGACTCTGACTGATTTTTTCCTGAAAGGTGGGATGGGGGAACAAGTAGGCCAGATAAGCCCGGGAGCCTCTGTTCTACCCCATAAAACAAGACTGGCGACACAGGATGCCGAAACCATTCATTATAGTTCATAAGCCTCTCTGAAGCCCAGGACGCTGGCAGAAACCCAAAAAACAAAAGCCTTCGTGAGAGAATGTGACTGTTGGGGGGGGGGGGGGTGAGCCTCCGTACTGCTGTTGCTTGATTTACTCATTATTCCCCATTCCTTTAGCAAGTCCAAGTGGTGCCGCCCCACCTCTCTCAATGTGGTTCGAATAATTACCTCAGAGCTGTATCGCTCTCTGGGGGACGTCCTGCGGGATGTCGACGCCAAGAGCTTGGTGCGCTCTGACTTCCTCCTGGTGTACGGGGACGTCATCTCGAACATCAATGTCACCCGCGCCCTCGAAGAACACAGGTCAGCACAGGAAGTGTGACGGCTGAGTGTCTGGGACCAGCCCAGCAGCAGGCTCCCCACCTCTCCCCCTTCCCCCCCGTTCCCCACGTTCCCCCCCCCCCCCATTGCACTGTGTCATCTCATCTCTCATCTCTTCTCTAGGCTGAGGCGGAAGCTTGACAAAAACGTGTCTGTGATGACAATGATCTTCAAGGAGTCGTCCCCCAGCCACCCAGCCCGTTGCCACGAAGACAATGTGGTGGTGGCTGTGGATAGTGCCACGAAACGGATCCTCCATTTCCAGAAGACCCAAGGCCTCCGACGCTTCTCCTTTCCACTGGTGTGTGGGTTTCCGGGGGTCACTGGGGTGGGAGAGGGCGTCCCAGGCTCTAGCAGCAGAGCCGGTTCAAGGCCTGTGACCTCTCCCTGTAGAGCTTGTTCCAGGGCAGTGGGGATGGCGTGGAGATCCGCTACGATTTGCTGGATTGTCACATCAGCATCTGCTCCCCACAGGTGAGCGTCCCTGGCACCGGAAGGGTGTGTGGAGGCCCCCCTCCGTGAAAGGGAAGGGTCTGTTTCCTCCCCCACTCTCTGCTGTGTTGTGAGGTAACTGGGCGCTGCCACCTAAACCTCCTTTCCCGTTGGGCTCCCCCTTGGGCTTATGGCCTCTGTCCAGGGTTCTGCTGGTCCCTGGGGCTTGTCTGCTTACCTCAGGCTGCTCTTGACCTTGATGTATTTCCCCCACCCCAGGTGGCCCAGCTCTTTACAGACAACTTTGACTATCAAACTCGAGATGACTTTGTGAGAGGCCTCTTAGTGAACGAGGAGGTGAGGAGAGGCCCACTTCTCTTCAGGAAAGGGTTGTTTGTGGCCTTTCAAGGCCCTTTTGGCCCCCTGTGTTGGAGGGAGGGAGGGAGGGAGGGAGAGTGGGGGAGAAAGAGAGAAGGAGAGGAGGGAGGGAGGGAAAAGCATGCAAGCATGATTGATGCAAAGGAGACTTGGGTACAATTCTGAGACCTTTCAAAATAAAATGATTCCCTAAAGAAAGAAAAGATTGCAGAGATCATGCAGCAGGTATGCACGCTTTGCATGCCGGTGACTCCAGTTTTATGTCTGGCTCCCTGAGCAGGGCCAGGTACGATCCCTGAGCACAGCCAGGAGTAAGCCTTGAGCACCAGAGTGTGGTTCAAACCCCTACTACCGCCACCCAAAGAATGGTCCTGTCGCCATTTCTTCCTGCCTTTCTTGCTTGCGTGACCTCCCTTTCCTGCGTTTCAGATTCTGGGGAACCAGATCCACATGCACGTGACAACCAAGGAGTATGGTGCCCGGGTCTCCAACCTGCATATGTACTCTGCTGTCTGCGCTGATGTCATTCGCCGCTGGGTCTACCCACTCACCCCCGAAGTCAACTTCACCGACCACACCGACCAGAGCTGCACCCATTCCCGGCACAATATCTACCGCGGGCCTGAGGTCAGCCTGGGCCACGGCAGCGTCCTGGAGGAAAACGTGCTCCTCGGCTCGGGCACCGTCATCGGTAGCAATTGCGCCATCACCAACAGCGTCATTGGCCCCGGCTGCCACATTGGTGAGCACAGGTGGGGAAGTCAAGCCAGCTGTCCCTGTCTGCCGAGAGAGGGAGACACATGGTCCCTGAGCATAAGGAACATGAGTGCCACTTCAGTAAAGGGGATACGACCAAGGAGGGCCCATTCCTAAAGGTCTGAGCGTATGCTTCCCACGCAGAAGGCCTGGGTTGGAGCCTCCAGACCCAAACTGAAAACAAATGCCCAGTAATAAAAAAGAGAAAGGAGGAAATAAGAACCGAACACAGTGACGCTATAATATTTGGGGGAGGGGAGGGGCACCACAACCCGGGGTTACTTGGGGGTTACTCCTGGCTCTGTGATTAGGGATCACTCTTGGCCCAGCTCTGGGGCCATATGGGGTGTCCAGGCTTGAACCCGGGGGATCACATGCAAGGCAAGCACCCTGCCTACTGTGCTCCCTCTCAGACCCCTGGTGCTATAATGTGTGGGTTGGAGAAGCTGTTTGGATGACTCTCCACATTCCAGGACCCAGTGGGTGATTAACATTGCAGTAAGAGCATCTATTTTCAGTGCATTACAGTTTACAGAGGGTTTTTGCACACATGAAAGACTCACTAAAGAACCTTGGGGGGAGGAAGGTATGTATCCTTTTGATTAAAAGGCAGATAAACTGTCAGTCATCTCCCTCAAGTTCACAGGAGTTAAAAGGCAGCTCTGGGACTTAAATCTGAATATTTTGATTGTAAATTCAAGTTTGTTTGAACTGGAACTGCCCACTGAACCTCTTGATGACTCTCGTCACAGAAATGGAATAATAATTTTGAAATGTATAAGAAGCAATGGGATGGTTTCCTTCTTTTTCTGAACACATCTGACTTTAATAAGACCCTTGGGGCTGGAGATACTGCAAGGGATATGGTACTTTGCCTTGAATGCAGCTGACCTGGGTTCAGTCCCTGGTACTGCATAGGGTCCCCTTGAGCACAGAGCCAGGAGTAAGCCCTGAACACTGCTAGGTGTCACCAAAAAATGAGTAAGGTTCTTGTGTTTAAAGGAGCCCCAGAAATCTCGGAGGCTCTTGGAACTTTAAGTCCTGTGCGTGGTCTGCGATCGTAAACCTGGTGGAGGATGGTCTGGCCCCTCACTGTTCTGCTCCCAGACATGGGCTTAGAGGGGGTGGAGGATCCTGGCGAATTGGGGGTTGGTGTGGCACAGCTGAGCAGGAGCTAGTCAGCCCTGCCCCCTAGGACTGGCCCTGGTCTCCTTAGAGCACTGAGTGACCAGGAGTCCTTCCTGTCCCGAGCCAGGTGATAATGTGGTGCTGGACCAGGCCTACCTGTGGCAGGGTGTCCGAGTGGCCGCTGGAGCACAGATCCACCAGTCACTGCTCTGCGACAATGCGGAGGTCAAGGAGAGAGTTACCCTGAAGCCACGCTGTGTCCTGACTTCCCAGGTGAGACCTGCTCCCAGGCACACAGAAAGCCAGCTGTGCTGAGCTGGAACGACCGTCTGCCCACCCGTATGATCCAGCCCGAACTCGCTGTCCACATCCCAAGATTTCCTTTGATTGACTTGGCAAAAATCTCGTTACGAGGCGGAACTCTTCCCCAGTCCATTAAAGAGTCTGTGCCCCTCTCCTCCTTTTTTCTCCCTTAGGTGGTTGTGGGCCCAGACATCACGCTACCTGAGGGCTCCGTGATCTCTCTGCACCCTCCAGATGCAGAGGAAGATGAGGATGATGGCCAGTTCAGTGATGATTCTGGGGCTGACCCAGAGAAGGAGAAAGTGAAGCTGAAAGGTGTGAGTCTCAGCAGGTGTGGTGCACGTGTATGTGCGCGTGTGTGTGTGTCTGTCTGTCAGTCCGTCTGTCTGCCACCTAGAAAGCCGCATGTTCCCACCCGGAGGGACTGGTACTGCCACCAGGCCTTGGCTAACGCCCTGCCTTTCCTAGGTTATAATCCAGCTGAAGTCGGAGTCGCAGGCCAGGGCTACCTTTGGAGACCTGCTGATGTGGACACGGAGGAGGAGGACGAGCTGCGGCAGAGTCTGTGGGGTGAGCCGAGCCCTAACCCTGATACCCCACTTCGGGAATGTTGGCGGGCGCTTCCCTTGTTTGTTTCTTTAGTCCTGGGCACGCGCGGTGCTCTCTCTCTCTCGGGGCCTCTTCATGCTCCTCTTCCTCTCCTGTGCCCCTCCCAGGCCTCACCATCCACGTGGAAGACGAGAGCGAGAGTGAGAGCGAGCACAGTCTGGATTCCGAGGGGCTCGACAGCCGGGCAGGCTCCCCGCAGATGGATGACATCAGAGGTGAGCAGGCCGGGAGTGGGAGCCGTGAGTTCCTTGTGTCTGGGTCAACTAGTGGGAGACTTGATTTCCTCCCGAGAAAGACGCCAGCCAGCGTCACAGCTGGCTGACCCAGCGTCCTGGCATGAGACGGGCCCCTGAAATTCTTGCTTCTGATTTCAGTGTTCCAGAATGAAGTCCTTGGGACGCTACAGCGGGGCAAGGAAGAGAACATTTCCTGTGACAATCTAGTCCTGGAGATCAACTCTCTCAAGTAAGACCAGCACCCTCCTCCTCTTTCTTCTCCCTTGTGGCATCTCAGCCCAGTAGCAGCTCTCTCCTCCGCCACCCACTGACACTCAGTTCATTTGCTCTCTCCTTCCACATGCGCATGGCCAGTCACATGGTTCTAGCCGCAGCCACACCGTCCTCCCCCACCCCACCATGTAGTTGCATTTGGCTTCCTCTCCCCGCCCGTCCCACCAAGCTCCATCTCACACGACACGTGTTGCCCAGACTCAGCGAAGGCCCTGGTGTCACCCCGTGTCCCCGCAGGTACGCCTACAACATTAGCCTGAAGGAGGTGATGCAGGTCCTAAGCCACGTCGTCCTGGAGTTCCCCCTGCAGCAGATGGACTCCCCGCTGGAGCCCACCCGCTACTGCGCCCTGCTCCTTCCCGTGAGCGGAGACCGGGGGCTGGGCCCGGGGCTCACCCACTCCCTTGCTCTGCCGGACTGTAAGAAAGGAGCAAGGCCCGAGCGGCCGTGCCGGCTGGGGCACGGGCATTACACACAGGAGCCCCGGCTCTGTCCTGGCAACTTGTGGCTTCCCCAAGAGTGGCCCCTGAGGGCCTGGAAAGAGTCCCGCGGGGAGGGGGCTGGCCTTGCATGTGGCCCATCTGGGTTCAATCCCCGGAATCTCCATACTGTCCCCCAGGCACTGCTAGCAGTGATTTCTGAGGGCACAGCCAGGACTGGCCTGAGCATGACCAGGCGTGGCCCCCCCCAACAAACAAACAAACAGGCAGCATGGCTCCTGAGCCCCCTCCCCCTCCTTCCTCTCCCCAGCCCTAAGTTGATGGAGAGTGATTTTCTGAGCGCAGGAGGATGTACTGAAGCTCCCTTCTCCTTCCTTCCGCAGCTGCTCAAGGCCTGGAGCCCCGTTTTCAGAAACTACATAAAGCGTGCTGCTGACCATTTGGAAGCATTGGCCACCATCGAGGACTTCTTCCTGGAGCACGAAGCTCTCGCCGCTTCCATGGCCAAGGTGATGACTGCTGCCTCGCTCCCCGTAGTCCTGGCTTTGCTTTGAGACAAGCCTTGGTGGTGACCTCCAGAGAGACACAGAAATCGGTCTGAAAACAGTGACTGTGAGGCTCGCTGCGTGTATGGTTGTCGGTTCCCGCCACTCCTAGCGCTGTGCTTGTTGCAGGCACCGCCCAGGTTGGATGCAGGTGGGGGGGGGCGCCCTGGGGAAAGCGTCTCCTCTTCCCCGAATGTCTGATGCCTCTCGCTGGACTCGGCAGTGCCCCTGAGAGAGCCCCCGTGCCTGCCCGCTGCAGGTTCTGATGGCCTTCTACCAGCTGGAGATCCTGGCTGAGGAAACGATCCTGAACTGGTTCAGCCAAAAGGACACGACAGACAAGGGCCGGCAGCTGCGCAAGAACCAGCAGGTGAGCGCCGTGGCGCCCCTTGCTTGGCCTGTCGGGGCATTTCTTGGTGAAGGGTCCCGGTGGGGGGTGGCCCTCCCCACAGCCACGCCTCCCACTGCTTCCCCACAGCTGCAGAGGTTCATCCAGTGGCTAAAAGAGGCGGAAGAAGAGTCGTCGGAAGATGACTAAAGCCGGAGCACTGCTGCCGGCTCCCCGGGCTCGCGGGTGGGCAGAGGAGAGGTGCGTGGTAGACGAGAAGGGCCCGCCGTCGGGCTGAGACAGGAGCGGAGGCTGGAACGACAGTATTCTCCCCAGCGCAGCAAGCCCCGGCCTCGCACCCGGACTGGGGCCTGAGGGAAGTGGGACTGGGCCCGCGCCGTCAAGAAGGGCCATCGAGCCGGGCCCGAGGAACCAGCCGCGGGTGCTCTGGCTTTCCCTCAGGGAACGGCAGGGAGAAACGGCCCTCTCTGCTGCTGTGTTTGTGAACATTAAAGAGAGAGGCACAGAGAGGCCCCGCCTCGTATCTGGACAGCCCCCACTACAGGTGACCAGAGCTGGGAGCCTCTCACATGGCGGCCACTAGGCGGTGCTGTGGCTCTTCTTGGGTGGCCATCGTGGGGGCTCCCAGGTGAGGGGCTCCTGGTTCTTTCCCAGCTTCTGGGAATCGTCTTTGGGCCGGGGTGATGTGCAGCCCTGGCCCGGATGCTTTCCCGGCTGGGAGATGATGCGGAGCGTCTAGATAAAGCCCGGTACCCACCTGCCACACCCACAGTCTTTTCTAGCACATTCAAAACTCCTGCCAGAGGCAGAGCCGCTGTTCTTAAAACAGGCTTTCTCCCACTGTTGGAGATTTGCTCTATGAGGAGCACTAGGAAATGTGCTCCGGCCTCATCACCCCGGGGCTGATGCTTCTCATCCCGAGTTCTCTTCTGCTTCAGCACTGTCAGTCTCCTGAAGAGGGCATTAAACGCGGAGGCAGTGATAGCTATCTGGGGGTAGTGAGGCGGGAGCGTGGTTGGGGGAATCTCCCAGGTGTTGCCCACACGTCCCGCCCATGGTTCTTGGGCAGTTCAGTGCAAAGGCCTGAGGGTGCAGTGCTGCCTGGGCCCTGTGCTGGTGGGGCCACCCTAGCAGTGCTGGTGGAACACGCAGTGCCAGGGACTGAACCCAGGTCCATACCAGGTAGATGCCTTAATTGCTATGTTACTGCTATATTTTCTTCCAGTCCCCTCTTTAAAAAAAGGGGGGGGGGGTGCGGGCTGGAAGGTACAGGAGTTCAGGTCCTTGTCTCACGTGTGTCTGGCCCCGGTTTGAATTCCTCGCATCACAGTCTGTTTGTTCACCAAGCATGGCAGGGGTCAGTCCTGAGCACCACCAGGTGCGGCCAAAAAAAAAATGAGTGAAAATTTTTGAAAAGTAGATTCCTGAAAACAGGCTTTTTCCCACTGTTGGAGATTTGCTCTGTGAGGAGCACTTTGTTGAAAACGTTTCATGTGGTGTTACTTGTTTTAACTTTAACCACATTAAACTCTTGGGAGAGGCTGGAGCTACAGTACAGCGGGTAGGGCATTTGCCTTGCACACAGCCAACCTGGGTTTGATTCCCAGCATCCCATACGGTCTCCTGAGTACCGCCAGGAGTAATTCCTGAGTTCAGAGCCAGGAGTAAGTCCTGTGCATCACTAGTATGACCCAAAAAGGACCAAAAAAAAGTTCTTGGGGTAGAGGATGTCTACCTGTGCCTATTGAGTTAGGATTTGCTCTTGAACTTCAGAGCTGGGGGTTGTCAATTTGCTAGATTGTCTCCTTTAATCTCAGCCCTACCTGCCAGAGTATCATTTTGTGCCCTGTTACATTCCTGTAACTGTTGACACTTGTTGTAACTGTGACAAATGTTCCTGTAGTAATAAGTGGCCCACCTAGATACTGCACTTCACTGTGGCCTCTGTGTCAGTTCGTGGGAGAAAGCTGAGAACAGGATGCTAAGCTAAACTGAGGGATTGGAAGGGATTACTGAGGGTTTGGTTTTGTTTCCATTTTGTTTTGGGGCAGCACCCAGCACTGTTCAGGTTTCCTCCTGGCTCTATGCTCAGAAACCTCCTGGTAGGCATCAGGAAACCATATGTGATGCCAGGGATCAAAACTGGTTGCATTCATGGCAAGCACTGGACTGTCCTCCAGCCCCTCATTTTCCTTAGTGAATCTGAGCTTTTTACTTTGTCAAATACAAACGTGCATGCGGAAGAGTGCAAGCATGGACCTGGTAGTAGTTGAACACGTCGATAGGGTATCTCTGATTTTATCAAATGGCTAATAAGTCAGAAGAGCCTGAAGAACTTGGAAGAGATTCCTTCCTTCCGGGGTGATTATCAGCATTTTCGGATGGAGATGCTTTCTCCAGAGTCAGGGCTAGAGCTGCAGTACCTCGGGAAGGGCTGGAGAGCCCAGGAGATGACTTGTCTCACATGCAACTAGCCCCAATTTGAATCCCTGACCACTTACGCTCCCCAAACGCAGAGCCAGCAATAAGCCCTGAGCACTACCAGGTGTAGCCAAAGAAAATCAAATCAAGGGATTTGTTTTGTGGGCCACACCCAGCAGTGCTCAAGGGTACTTTGTGTTCGAGAATCACTCCAGGAGGGTTTGGGGGACCATATGAAGTGCTGAGGACTGAATCTGGGACTGCCACTGCAAGGCAAACGCCCCACCCCACTGTACTATTGCTTTTAAAATGTCAGTAGATGTGGGCTGGAGGATAGCTTAAGTGGTAGAGTGTGTGGCCAGCATGTGCCAGAGGCTCTTGGTTCAATCATAGGACCACATGGCCCCTGTGCATCACTGGGTATTGCCCTGTGAGCCAAGCACCATTGAGAGCGGCCCCTAAAAGCATTTGTCTTGGATGTGGCCAAGCCAGGTTCATTCCCCAGCATGGCCAGGAGTGATCTCTGAGCACCTGGCCAAACTGTCAGTTGGTCTGAAAACCAAGTGCCAATAAAGGAATTCCCCCCAAAAAGTTTGGTAGTAGGAAAGTACAAGATGGCAAGACTGAGATGGGAAGAAGCTGGGATTTCATCCTGGCATCCCATAAAGTCCCCCAAGCACTGCCAGGAATAATTCCTGAGCATCGCCAGGTGTGATCCAAAAAAGTAAAAGACAAAAATAAAAAAACTGAGTTGGAGAACTGGGGCACTGGGGAAAAAGACATTTTGAGAAGTGAGAATGGAATAAAAGTTGAACAAGAGCAGAATGAGGTAGGTTCTATCTGCCGAGGGATTATTAGTAAGATATAAGTCTGTGAGCCTCTGTTGAACTCCAAAATATTTAGCGGACATGGGGAAGGCTTAGCTCTGAGAACCAGGCATGGAGGGATCAGAGAAGGATTGTAGCTGGGGAGATGGCTTTGCTTGTGGGAGCCCAGGACCTAATCCCCAGCACCACCTGGTTCCCAAGCACCAGCAACACTGGGTGTGGCCAGAAAAGAAAAAGCTCCCCAAGCCAGAGATGGCCGCACAACAGCATGCAAATGGCCTAGGGTCAATCCCCAGCACTACATGGGTACCTGCACTGAGCCAGGGTAATCCATGACCCAAAAAATAACCATCTCGGGGCTGGAGGATACACAGCGGGTAGGGCGTTTTCCTTGCACGCGGCCGACCCAGGTTCAATTCCCAGCACCCCATATGGTCCCCTGAGCACCGCCAGGAGTAACTCCTGAGTGCAGAGCCAGGAGTAACCCCTGTGCATCGCCAGGTGTGACCCAAAAAGAAAAAAAAATAACCATCTCATCCACCCACATACATCTCCACATCATCCAATTGAGCAATTATTCCTATTCTCACAGGAAAGAATTTAATTGGGGAGGGGGCAGAGGGGGGTCACACCTGGCAATGCTCAGAGGTTACTTCTGGATCTGCACCTAGGAATTACTCCTGGGATGCTGGGGATAGGACCCAGGTCAGTTGTGTGCAAGGCAAATGCCCTACCCACTTCTAAATAATTTTAGAAGCTTTCCTAAATCCAGAGGTCAGGAGTTTCTAGACTTGACAGAATCCGCGAATACACAGTATCATGAAAGAAAAAAAAGCCCAATTAAAGGAATGAAACAGGCAAGTGAGATGGCTCAAAGGACCAAAGCAATGTTCTGTGTGAGTGAACTCCAGATTCTGTTTCCAGTACACACCTGGTACCCAACACTGCACCCCACACACACCTGCACAAATTGGAGAGAAGGTTTGGACCACACCCAGAAACTGTCCCTGGTTCTGTACTCATGAGCCCCCTGGTGCTGCTCGGAGACGTGGTACAAGGGAACCAACCAGGGTAGGTCTCTTGCACGACAAATGTCTTATGTACTATCTCTCTGGCCTTATTTTTTGGAGAGGGGGGAGCACACCTGGCAGTGCTCTTGGGGTTAGTCCTGGCTCCGCACTCAGGTGGGCTCAGGGGTCCATATGGTATGTCAAGGATGAACCAGCGGGGCTGCGCACCAGGCACACAACCTCCTCATGGTACTAGCTCTCCTGCCCTGGCCTCCTAATTTTTAAAAAAATTATCACAATCACGATCATCCTGTTGTTCGTCAATTACCTCGAACAGGCACCAGTAACATTCCTAGCCCTGAGATTTTAAAAGAGCCATACTCAATGCTCTTTCAGGGATAGGAGAATGAGGCCTATCATTGTTACTGGTATTTGGCATATTGAGTACGATACAGGAAGTTTGCCAGACTCTGCCGTGCGGGCAGGATACTTTCGATAGCCTGCCGGGTTCTCCAAAGTAAAAGCAAGATAAGATGCTTCCGGGAGCTGGGTTTTATCTCTGGGTCTTGGCCATTGATGGGACCACCTGGCGCTGGCGGCAGCTGGTGGGTGTAACACCTACCTACTGGAAGATGGGGGACCTGGGTGGAGAAGGCCAGAAATAAAAAATTCTAAGAATATATATTTTGTTTCTTCAAGAAGACCATTTCTCCCTTCACTTGGTCTTAATAATTGGTAAGAGCCCTGTACACGGGCCAAGAGATAGTAGGGAAATGAAGCACTGTCCTCACATGCGGACAGCCCTGGTTCCTGCCTGGCACACGTATGGTCGCATAAGCAGCACTTGAAACTTGAAACGGAGGCCAAAACAAGCAGAATTGGAACCAAGAAAATAATTTTTTTAAAATGAAAATAATTTTTTAAAAAGTAGAAAACTAGTTCTAAAGCTTCCGAGGTGTGGTCGAGAGGTGAAAGATTTGCTTTGCACAACTGACCCCAGTTTGATCCCTGGCACCCCATATGGTTCCCTGAGCACTGCCAGGAGTAAACTCTGAGCACAAAGCCCTGAGTACTACCAGAAATTTTCCCCAAAACAACCCTCAATCTGTACACACACACAAAAGTTACAGCCATGATCCTCAAAATTTGGAGGGAAGAGGAGTGGTGGAGCACATGCCGTGCATGTATGTATGTATGTACACGACCAACCCTGGGTTC